ACAGGACCGACTACTCCTTTTTGTCTCGAAGAATTGAAAAACAAAACAAAATAAGCCCAAGTGGATGAATGCAACGATAAGTCTAACACACGAAATTTGGTTACTGTTGAGAGAAGAGATGCTTTATACAGGCAAATAGTAGAGTTACAACTGTACAATTAGATGTGAAAAACCTAAAGAAACTGCGCAGCTCGTGCCAATTTACCACTGCAGCGGATGTTGAAACGAGCAGCCGGATGCCCTGTACGTCCGTTGCCAAGTTCTAGTAAGTGTGTGCTGGAAATAGAGTGCAGAGACGATTGTTCGCTCCACACTCCTTCTTCGCCTGTTACCTTCGTAAGGCATCTGAACTTTTTCACCACTGGAGGCTCCTTCTTCCCTTCCCCATTCCCCACCTCTCCGCAGCGACCGAGATCCCCACTTGTTCCGTCAACAACCACGCTGCTGCGTTCTCCGCATTTTCGCTTCTCTCGTTTTCGTGACATTGAAACCTCTTTTGAAGTGTCGCAGATTCTCCGAGGTTGCATGTCGATGTTTACTAGATCCCCCTTTTGAGATTCAATACATTTGTTCATCAGAGCATCCTCAGATGAAACAAACTTGACTTTTGGTGCGATGGAAGCATTGGAGAAACTGTCAAAACCACCCGCACGAACGAAAACTCGGGATAAGGCCTCCTGGTAAACGTCTGACCATAAAAGCTCGTCAATTTGTGTAGTCTGGTAGGCGGCTCCAAGACCTCTTCGACTGAACTTCATCGATGCTTTGATTGGTTCGGAAATGCCGTCCTTATTCTTTCCTAGACCATCGCCTAATTTAAAATGCATGATAACATACAATGGCTATCGTGAATGGGAAGCAACCACAAAAATAGAAGATGGATAACCTGGTTTAAGGGTTAGATGAATATAGTTGGAGTATCAAAGAGCTAGGACTAGTGAAAGTACAAAATTCGTACCCACCTCAAGAAGGCGACGAAATGAGCACGTCTACTTTACCTTATAAGTCAAAAAATTGCCTCATAATCGCAAAATCTCGACTGGTGAAAGATAAACTACCACACTACAAAGGATCATTGCAATTTACTACGGAGGGGCATTATTCAATGTCAAAACCAACCTTCAGACCACCCAAACTTCTTCAATTGGTTTACGGCAAAACTTGAAGGACCACTTGACATATCTTCCTGCAATAGAGCAAAAAATAGAAACCGATTACTTGTTTGAAACTCAGAAATACTACACTCATGGCACGTTGTTTTGCAAAATACATATGTAAACAAATTTGCTGGTACGTTCAGCCTTCGGTGCGTTTGTTCAAAACAAACAGGAAGTAAAATGCACAGACCCTAACCCGAAAATAGGAAGCATGCGTACCTAAAAATGGATGTAGAATCAAGCATACGCACACTTGAAGATCCTTCCACGATGAAAAGTGGGCTAAGATCCGTTAAGTCTCGTTGGCCAGTAAATATCCAAATAAGGACACCTAGATGCAACTTCATAGATTTATTGAGACAAACGCAAAGAACTGATGTTACAAAGTGATAGCAATGATCAAAAGCACAAAAGGCACCAATGCAGCGAATTTCGCACAGCGCAGAATTTGAATGACTCGCCGACTGCCGGCCAGAGCCAAACAAAAATAAGGATGCTGTAAACTTTTACTTTTATTGGTTTAATCTGATATATTTAATTAAATTCGTTTGTACCCTATGCAGTGAAAAGTCAAGCTAAGTTGTTTACTATTCTGTCTTTATGTAACGTCTACTCTCCCATTCACGGGGATTTATTTTTAAGCACTCAGTACTTTAGTGCTGTACTGTAGAATTTCACCATTTTGCCTAATTTCAATTAAATTAGTAACCATCTGTTAATGTGACTTTTGCCCTTAGCCTGTACTTAATGGAGAAAAAAAGGCTCCATCGTACTTTTCTCTGAAGTACGCAATCAGCTAAATTACCGCACCTGATGAGCATCGAGTGCATTCATTTTTGCAAGATTTATTAATTGTTAAGCACTTTGTCTAGCTTTTCGTGGGTTTAAAGCACAAAACCTTGATTTGTTATTTAAGTCTGCTTAGCAGGCAGTTAATCTGTTGGCAAGTGTGGTAAAATGGTAAAGTTCTTGCCCGATTGGTATGTGATGGCAAACAACTGTGATCCGTAGGCTTTGACACGCCAACTTTGTGAGTCAGAGCATGCTCCTGCCCTCCTACTGTATTACGCATGTTTCGAAGCGTAGTGATTGTGCCACGAGGGAGACGACTTCATCACTGAGCACGGCCTTGTTGTTTTCCCCATTCGCATATGCCCTGGTTTCGACGTTGAAGCCGATTTGCTTTATCAGCTTAAAAATCAGCTCATCAAAGGCTCGATGATTGTTTACTAGTTCTGTGGTGTCAACTGCCATTTTTCATTTCACTAATATGACATTCGCTGAGTTTCGATAAAGGCATACTTTTGGGGGGTTAAGTGGTGGCGTTTGCTCAATAGTTTAGAAGTAGTTGGGAAAGCTGTGGCGCTACTCATTTGCAGCCTTAGCCTTTTTTTCTTGACTCGCATTTGTTGCCCTAGATCTGTGCATCATATTGCAGTAAAAATGCTCCCGAAGGAGTCTGTAAACCTGCTCCACCTAATGCTTAATTATGTGACGGAATTGACACTGCAGACTGGGTGACTGCCGACTTCTCAACAAGGTGACCTTTCCCAAATTCCTTTGTCTTGCATTGTTCTGTTTAAGTAAGGAGCAGATCAACCTGAGTTTACCATCTTATTATGCTCAATTTTGTCTTCCAGTTTTAGAAGTAGCATTGGCGAAGTTCTAGTTACTACGTCTAAGCTTCGACGGTCGTGACGAATATGTAGAGAATCCTGACGGCGGTATTTCGAATAACGTATACTCTCAACAACTGCCCCAATCTCGTGTTATACAGGTATTATATTACCAGCGGGTTCACACCTCACTTGAATCATTAGGAAGGCTCATTACGGAGTTGTTTATAGTACCTACGTGAAGATGTTAGGTACATGAATAAGCCGTACACCCTCCACACATTCACTATCTGAATGGAAACCACATATATTGAAGGCTGGGCAAGGCTGGGCAGTGCTAAATTGGGAGCATAACAGCAAGGAGAGATAGAGGCAATCGTTAGCTCCATGGGGTAATTTATGCTTTTGTTTTCTTTTATTATGTCGTGATTAAAAATCCTCTCATTTGCGGAGATATTTTTGTACTTTTTTGCCAAGTCAAGGTTCGTTTTGGGGTTCAGAGAGCCTTATAATAGCGGTAGCTAAGGTTGCATCTGAGATCGCCAAGAATGACGTTGAAGAATGCTGAGTACTAAGTTTATATTTTATTTCACTGTATGTTGGTCTACCCTAGACTTGGAGTCTGCGGAGAGTGTTCACAAATTGTGCATCCGAACTGCGACATGGTCTTCGGGGCATGCCAGTAGTATTCCAATACTTCTATTGTTCTTTAACTTGTTGCGACATCTGGCAAGAGCTCAAGGTAGCTATTCTCCATTAAAGTACATGAAAG